CTTGCCAGTTACAATCTTCTTTGCTCAATATTGGGTAGCCCTACTTCTAACGGAAATGAGTAGATCTTACTGAATTTTGAATGTATAGACATATCGTGTGCAGAAAGGAGGAAAACACGCTGTTCACGGCCAACGAGACCATCCCAAATTTGATTTTCCTTACTCATAAATCGCAAAAAAGTACAGGAATTCAGCAATGAGTAAATTTGCTTCATGTTTTTTCAGCTTTTTCGCGCTTTTTCAAGGAAAAAATTCTAGAATATGATAACATCGACGGTAGGATTTGCTCGGTCTACAATACTGAATACAATTCCCGTCAATTTATCTCATTTTCCAAAAGTTTATTCGGGTTTTAAAACATGGGCATAATTTGCTCATCGCTGAGTTCCTGCACTTTTTGCGATTAAGAATAAACTGAACTATAATTTAGGTTGATCTCATCGGCCGTGCACAAATTTAAAGGGACCAAAACCAACTGGTCTTTTTGGGATAAACAGTAAAAATGAAAACTCTCGGCATCAACACAATACAAAAGCATACGATTTCTTCTTGAAATGATAACGCCCAAACTAAACATTAAGCCTTCCCCTGACTTCTACGATGTCGTAATCAAACTGTCGAACCAGATCGAGCAGATTTCTATCGATTGGGAATGTTGTATACAGGTGAGATAGCTTGTGTGGATGGCTATCGGTCACAGACGGCAAGACGTGTGAAATACGATTTTTATACCTATGTTACGGTAGTAACAAAGGTAATACAGATTTTTTTTAATATATCTATACAGCCATTCCATATAAACGATATAGTGTTCCTTATCGCCATTAGACCCTTGTTTTTTTTTTCATTTTGTTATTATGGTGACCATTTCCATGTAAGGGTAATCCAAAAAATGTTTTTTTTTTACGTAGGATTATGTCTTTCGGCAACATATTGGGGGTTTTAAAAAATCAAATTCGACCGCGTTACGAAAAGATGTCAGGTTTTGACCACATATAACTCTATCAATAGCAGATGGATTTTAATTCTAAACAAACCAATCGATTGGAAATGTATCTACCAATCTGCTCAAATGAACATTTTATTAATTTTCATTAGGTCACTATTGAAAAATACACAAATGTCCAACTGTTGCAATGGTGATCAAAATTATCACCGATTGCCTGCAAACAGCGCATTCCCTAACACAGATTTATAAATCGAATTCGATACTGTCTCACTGAACGGTGCTCATTCAATCACCGTGTGTGGTGGTGTTCGGTCGTCGGTGTCAGCAGCAGCAGCAGCAGTACACAACAAAAGGCAGCCTGCAAACAGCGAGCTGCAGGCCCACATGAGCATCCATAGAATATATATAGAATATTATCTATTGAATAAAACAAAAATTCCGTGCGTGTTGTGCACGTAAATGCGTAATTTTGTCATCAGAAAACGAGCCGTTTCCGTGATGGGAAAAGTGGTTTCCCTAACACAGTCGCCGAATATTGATACCAAGCACTGAGCATGCCAGACGGTACCGATATTTATACCTTTCAGTGAAAATTCTAAGTCCTCCTATTAAGAGCATTATGCCAAAAAAAAACCTTTCCGAATTCTCTTAATAGAAAGGGCTTAAAATTTGCATCAAAAGGTATAATCGTAGGTACAGTTCGGTAGGCTCAGATTCTGTGATTAATGTGTTTTCCCTAATAGGGGAAATGGTTGTAATGTTGGCCTATGGATCTAAGATTGGGCCCATCGCAAAAAATCTGCTATTTATCAATTTTATCTAGATGAACGCGTCATTGGAACGGTACTAATGGATAATTTTGGTCGCCATTGAAATTTTAGTCGATTGCTGAATTTATGTATGGGCCCAAATTAGGGGCATTTAGGCCGACATTACATCCATTTCCTCTACATATGTCATTTCCGCACTGCTATCATTTCCAAAAAACATCGAGGAAAAGTTTCCACAGTATTGTTCTTAGCTAGCTTCTAACCCATCGGTTCTTTTCAGGACCACAAACGACTAATAAAAGAGTAAACTAAAGAGTAAGAGCTTGAATCCAAGACATATCGTCCAGGATTGGCTTGTACTACATGGGCATCGACAGAGCACCCTAAAAACAGAACTCTCAAATTGCTTCCGAATTTCAAACAATCGAAATTATTCACTAATAACGAGTTAAGAAATCAATTTAATATATAATATACTTTTGCCGTGACATCGTAACTAACTTTCGTAATCCTAATCTACGGTCGTTTTTTGGATACAACCTCGTACTTTTTCTTTCCAAAATGACTTTTTTTTTCCAAAAATTCATAAATGTTGATCCACTGAGCCGCTTTCAATGATCGAAATATCAAATTAAAGGTAATTAAAAATGCTTTTTTTTATAACGATATTAAAAAATGAGATTTTGTACTGAAAAACATTTACTGTATTTCGCTTGTTATAATAACGAATTTTTAAAGCATTAAACATTGTTATCTCCCGTGTTAAAAATACCTGAGAGTAAATAAATAGTTTCGCTTTCCATACATTTTCCCATACAAACTTTAAATGTCTCCCGCAAATCCATAACGTAACCGAATCTGTTCAAATGAAGCACAGTTGCTGGGGACCGTTCAATACGAATCGGAAGAGCTGTGCATAGCCGGGGGTTGTGATCGACCATATAAACTTGACCCACCCTAATGTCCATAGGACAGAAACTCAGGACATAGGAAATGTCTAGATCCGACGTCTCTCTATCCGCAAAAAAAACATCATGAATGATCACTATTTGCTCAACCAATAAACACTCAATGTGAGGGGTAATCCAGATGATCTCTAGTAGGTAGACATACACACTCAGTAAGCCCAAATTATCCGGTTCATTAATAGTTTGCACACACAATTTGCACGCTGTTTGGCTAGACCGGACCCGGCCGGCTACGCTCTTTCTCATAGGCCAATATGTACGTAAATATTGTTTTTTTTTTACTTTTCCGTCTGGCCTACCACGGTTGCGCCGGCTGCGTGCCATTAAGCAGAAGAAGTCATACAATGAAGAATCTGCAAAGAGCTCGTACCGTGGAACCGTGAGTCTGGATTTTGATTGGTCTTTGTGGAAAAATTCTACACTTTAATTGCGTGTCTACGGTTACCTATGGCAACAAATTGATAGGCTTTAGAAAATGAAAGTACATGCTTGTTTGAATACAGAAGGTAAGGGGAAATAGATGGAAGCTACAGAGAAAAGCAAAACTTCCCAAATTTTAGGTTTGTTCAACATAAATTTGAGTTAAGCGGGTTTGTGGCTAGTGATGTCAGATGTTTTTTTTTTTCAAAAATCGATTAGAAGCTAATAGATTCCTATTTTTCATTTCATGACGTGATGTAATCGATTAATCACATCAATCGATCATTAGTCTCGACAAACAAAAATAAAAGCGAATGTTTTGAATAGGACTGAACAAGCATTCAAACGTTTTCAGGTCGTGTTGAATTAATTTGGGTGAAATCGTATGCAGATCCGATAATTATCGTAACAATATGATCCACTCTATCGATTAGCTGGAGAATCAAATATTGAGCGATGAAAGTGGATCTGTGGCCACAAAGACAACCAATGTACAACTTGACTAGTCAAAACGTCCTATGTTCATCCATTCCTTTATTTAAAGTCGGTCTCTGTTCCGCAATCTAGTGCCAATCACCGACGGACATCGATTGCCATCCATTGACGGCAATCGAATGTACACCCATTCAACAACACACATGGGCCGGGACCAACGGGCCTCAGAAAAATCACACCGACCTCGGCTGAGATTGAACCCAGACCCATTGGGGTGAGAAAGCAGTCATGTTTACCACTACACCACCTGCGCCGACCAAACGTCCTATTTTTTACTATATTGTAGCTTGATATTCAAAGTAAAATTGTGATTTTTCCGTTTCTACTGAATTTCAAACATTATAATAACTACGGTAAAAATGGTATTGCAAAAATTATTGTCTCTAAACAGTTAAAATAATAAACTTCATCCATCTGAATCCAATAATCCATGCGCTGTAGCTCACTCTCTTCCACTGGCTAGAAAATAATAGCCTCATGATTGTTTGTCACTGGCACGAGCACACCAGCAGTCGGCGGGAATTACAAATAAGTGGATCGATGGTGCATGATCGCAATAAATAATGCATCATTTATCTTAACAAATGCATCACGAAGCAGAGGATTCTTCCCGGAAAACGATGATCTATTCATCGCGTCGGTTAGGTAACCATTCAGCCACATCAAATCTAAAATTTTCATCTTTTCGAAAACTCGGTTGAACGTGTACTGTAGAATTGCGGCAAAACAAGAAAATCCCATGAACAGTCGACCATGAATCGTTTCATTCCAGTCTGCGATTAGAATCTGCGCTTGCATTTAGGGTTAGTGTCCCTAATGTCGGCCTAATACATAAATTTCGCTTGGAAATCCACAATTTTTACCTAGCAACTGAAAATATGCATTTGTGTTGTCCAGAAATGGGTTTAAGGAAAAATTGGCCAACCTTAGAGCCTTTTCCCCTACATACCTCCACAAGCACAACCGCCCGGAGACGTGAGCATGGAACTAAAACAGCCACGCCAATTCACCAACAACTTTTCATCAATAAGCTGATAATAAATTCAACCGTTTCGGAGTCAGAACCAGTTCCACCTCCTGTCTACCGCCAGTCGGTGCCAGTGCTGGCTGTCGAAACAGCTGACAGTGGGCCGTTTTCAAGTGCACGTTCCTGTGGTCGGGTATTCGCTCTGGAAATGAGTCAAGGTCTCGGTTCAGCCAGCACGCGGTTTGCTTGGTGTAACACGATCATGAATTATTCTGATAGATTGATTGTTTGAGAATCACCGGTACGGGTTAAAGCGGTCGCACAACAAATGCGTAGTGAAATGTGAGAATTTCGCACAGTCCTACGTAATGACTTATTGTTCAGTAGTACAAGTACTAATCGATAATCTTCCCATTTCATTTTCCTTTCAGGTGGAACAGATTAGAGCAAGCGTGCGTGCAGCGGACCATAACCCGAAAGACAATGCTGCGATCATTGTAATTCACCGCCAGTTAGCAGTCAGTTTAAAAGCCAATTAAGAAGCCGGGCTCAAAGGTGAATCCGATTCGGCCGGTGTGTTTGCGTGTCAGTGATTTCCCTACAGTTAAGACGACGATGACCATTCCTCAATCAAGCGTGATGGCGACGGCGACGGGGACAGGTGTCAGTCCTACTCTGACCGTGGCACCGACCGGAACAACAACGGGTGGATCATCGACGGCATCCACATTCAGTTGTTGTCCAGCGAATGGTGAAAGCTCATCGATTGGAGAGGATTCGATCGAGTTGAGTGAGGGCGGCAGTCAGGGGAACAATAACACCATGTTCCATAATGGGTTCCTGGAGAAGGAGGACTATCACTTTCCGAAGAGACCACCGGTGGATATTGAATTCCGGGATATTCGGTATACGGTGAAGAAGCTCAACATTACCAAAGCGAAATTCGGTGAGTAGGATTTTGCATGTCCTTTATTAGTATTCGCTCAGCGTCCTTTATAATCTTTTATCGTTAATATTTTAATATCCGAAACAGATTCATGTTTCGGTAAATTTGTTCAGTACACTAGTGTTTCGGTCATTGTGGACTTTTTAGGAGTAGTTCCGGACCAAAATCCAATAAAAAATAGTTTTTGACTCGACTTTCTGCGATTTGCATAATTGTTTGATATGGGCATTAGATTGATGCAAAATTTGAAATTTTCGGTCCACAGTGCTCAAACGGTTCCAAATTGTGTCCAGATTATCCTCCCAAAATTTGAACTTCTTTAGTAAGAACCTGACTTGGCACAAACCGTTTGAGGTTTTGGAAATTACTATGGGGAAACCATAATTTCGGTTCATATCTATCTCAAAATTCACCAGATCACTCTACTTTAGAAAATTATAGCTGAGCTTGTTGAGAATTTTCTCAGCTACAATCGATCGACCACTTTTCGATCAAATGTAAGGAACAAAAATTATTAATGATTCCTGTCACTGGTGTCGTATGATTATGCTCAATCAACTGTTCAGCAGCCAACATTGGTGTTTATTATAGAAACTACAGATTCCATAGATAAGCGGAGGAAAAGCAAAATGTATCCACACGAGCTGTCAGTTAGTGTAGCCAAACGAGCATGACGTCATCATGGTGTTGCTTGAGGGAGAAGTATTGTAATATTATGAGCACAAAACGCTTTCCACACTCCACATTCCGATTTATTTCGCGGACAACGGAAGAAGGAAAGATAAAGCAAACCATTCCTCGATACATTGTTGCAAAGATTTGCTTTGCACTTCATTTTGAACTTTTACGCACGAAACAAAACAAAACTGCACAACGAAGAGCTCTAAGATGGCATGAACTTTTTTCACGGATGCCAGTAAGATCATTTATTTTTCATGGTTGCTAAAACCAATTTTTATACTTATCTATGGAATCTATAGTATGTATAGTGTTTATGGCGCGTAGAATAGAGGACAAAAATCATGGCTACTATGTCACACTACATAAAACAGTGTTGCCAACAATACACTTGCTTAATCTTGCCATAAGATTATCAATCTCTTAAACAATTAATAACTATTTAATTTGGCTGAAAAATAATTTTCTGCAAAGTTGTAGCTGATAAAATTTCCCATAAAAATAGCAATACAATTTGTTAACAGTACAATATGGAAAAAGGCTAGAAGACAATGAACAAAAAGTTTGTTTTCCTATAGTAATTTCCATGTAAACTTCAAATGGTTTGTGCCAAGTCAGTTTCTTATCAAATGAGTTTAAACTTTCGGAGGCTAATCAGGACCCAATTTGAATCCGTTTGAACACTGTGGAGCAAAAATTTCAAATTTTCCATCAGTCTAATTGGCATTCATTGTATTTTTTTTTTATCAAAATGACATATGTGATAGTTCGAAAACGTCACTCCTGATCTAAATTTCGGCTGAGACAAACTTTTAGAGAAAAATTAAGTCTTGCTAGGAATAATGTAAACGTTTTCTTTTTTTTGAATTTTGATAAAAAAAATTTCTAAAATAGTGATTAAAACTTAAACATCTCATAAAGACCATGTCTTGGAAAAAGTTGCTCAGCTTAGTGAGAATTCTCTGATGGCGCTAGACGATGGCACTAGCAAGCAAAGATATACTATGTTATATAATATATCGTGATGCTGACATTGTTGAACTATCCTGTTAGTGGTGACGGTGGTGTGGTGGTAAGCGTGATGCCTCTCACCCCAAAAGGCCTGAGTTCAATCCCAGTCGGCGCCGCCAAGATTTTCTGAGGCATAAAATCTCTGATCACGTCTTCCTTCGGAAGGGAAGTAAATCCTTCCCCGGTACGTGAGTTGATTAGTCGATATGTAGGGTCCAGGTGTAGGAGCTGCCTCCCTAGCGTCGGTAGCATTGAGTGAGACTTCTCAAATACCGTAGGTGTAGTCGGAAAATTCATATTTTCTTTTTAATATTTGTTTGGAATCTTGTTCAAATCTGAACACCATCTAAAGGGCGAACACGAAATTATTGCGACACCGAAAATGTCATGCCAATTTTCTTATAATGTTTAGAATCAAACCAAAATTTTAGGGTAGTTTTATACATATATTTACTTCAAAAATCAAAAGAAAAGTTAATCGATGGAGCCTTGAGTGTAAAATTGCACGCATTTTCGCTTGATGCCCTCCATCAAAGTCTTTACAGTGTCATCCGGTACCAGTTTCTCAGTATTTTTTCCATTTTCTTAACATGTCCTTCTCGTCTTTGACTGTCTTCTTGCTCTTCCGAAGTTCCCGCTTCATTATTGCCCAGTACTGCTCCACCGGGCGCAGCTCCGGACAGTTTGGCGGATTCATGTCCTTTGGAACAAAATGGATAGAATTGGCCTCATATAACTCCAGGACACTTTTAGAATAGTGGCATGATGCCAAATCTGGCCAAAATAGCGGAGCTTCGTCGTGCTGCTGCAAGAACAGCAAAAGGCGCTTCTCGAGGCACTCAGATTTGTAGATCTCGCCATTTACTGTGCCCTTTGTCACGAAAGGCTCACTCCTCAGTCCGCAAGAGCAGATGGCCTGCCAAATGAGATATTTGGAGGCGAACTTCGACATTTTCTTCTTCTTAAATTTGTCGTCCACATCGAACTTGCTCTTGCCGGTGAAAAACTCCAACCCCGGAATTTGCTTAAAATCGGCTTTTATATACGTTTCGTCGTCCATCACACAGCAGCCATATTTTGTCAGCATCTTCTCGTAGAGCTTCCGTGCCCGAGTTTTAGCCGTCGATTGTTGCCGCTCATCGCGGTTTGGGAAGTTCTGTACCTTGTATGTATGTAGTCCAGCTCTCTTCTTTGCATTCTGGACGTAGCTCTGCGACATGCCGATCTTTTTAGCCAAATCACGGCTTGAGACGTTGGGATTTGCTTTAATCATCCGCTTCACCTTTCCCTCCGTCTTTTTGTTCTCCGGTCCCGGTTTTCTTCCAGCTCCTTTGCCGTGGTCCAACGTCAACCGCTCCTGGAACCACTTCAACACTCTGGAGACGGTTGAATGGTGAATGTTCAACATTTTTCCCAACTGCCGGTGCGACAGGTCAGGAAATTCCAGGTGTTTGGAAAGAATTTGTTCTCTCAACTCGCGTTGGTTCACCTCCATTTTCGTTGAATCGAAAAACACGACTTCGAGTTTGACAGCATGTACACAATACACATCAATGAGAAAGTGTGCAAAATTTGGTTGATTTTTACCCAATGGTAAAAAAGTTATGCCCTGTTGAATGTGTCGCAATAATTTCGTGTTCGCCCTTTATTGTCATAGGCAGTGGTGCTCAACTGAAGGCATATGGCGGGCCTGACTCAGCACCTTATTAATGAGATTATGGAAACGACCAAGGAAGGCAAGCTAAAGGGGCAATTAAAAGATTTTTTATTTAGCGAATTTCCTCATAATTTATTGTATCAGTACCAAATTTATATTTTGGATCTTGTAGAAAAAAAAATTAGATCACGAATCATTTGAATTTCCATAAAACTGTAACAGATTTTATGAGCTTAAAAATTAAGTTAATGTTTTGAAATTGAATATCTCGCAAGATTTTCAAGGCTTCTTTAAGACTTAAGAAGTTTTCCGAGCTAAATAATCATGAAAATTATCCAAAGGCTATGCTGAACGCCACGGTTGAATTTTGGACAGGGAAAGATTGTAGTACGAAATTTTTCATGATTTCACTCTACAGTACGTCAGTTTGCGTCTACAAAGCTTCTGTAACTCTTTACTCCTATGGGGAAATCCGATAAGCTAACGTCACTGGATGCGTGAAACATGGCGAATTTTATCTTATTCGATCGCTCTACCGAAAAATCTCGTAGCCAAGTGTCAATCTTTGCGTGAAAATTCCATTTCCGTAAGCGAATTGGGTCCCTAAAGGGTGAATACCCGTACACGAAAAAACAAAACCAGTCAACAGTTGTGATATTTTAAATTAGTACTTTTTTTTGTCCTAGTCGGATATTTTCATCACTGCGACCATTTTTCTGATCTATTGTGATATATTCCCCATTTTTTTTTTCTTTAGCTATATCAAGATGCCGTATCACTATTATTAGGAGTGATCGCCATCGTTTGACTAATAGCATTATCCCAGCACGGCATTATACTTCGAATAAAGTGCACTGCCGTACTGGGAGTTGTTCTCCAAATGTCAAAGGGTTCTATCAGCCCCTTGTCGAAGAACTTACGCCTTTTATTGAAAATTGCCAGACAGTGGTATAGCAAATGTTTCGAGTCTTCCTTTTCTATGCCACAGAAGCGACATACATCATCTTGAAGTTTTCCAATCAGCTTCAAGTGATAACGGCTCGGACAATGACCTGTTATAAGAGCTGCATATATACTAAGATCTTTCTTAGAAAGTTCCAGGATTTTGTGGGTCACAGAAATGTTTGGATTAATGAATCGCTTCGAATGCCTAGCAATAGAAGTGTTCTTCCAGTTTTCCTCCACTTTTGAAGATTCCCACGCTTTTAGCTCCATTCTAAGAGATGCAGCCGATAAGCCACAAAAGGGCTCTGGCCCGATGAACTTATGAGAAGATCCGAGTCTTGCTAGTGCATCAGCTCTTTCATTTCCCTCAATCCCGCAATAACCAGGAACCCAATATAAGTTGACTTCATTATGACAAGACAATTTTTGAAGTGATTGAACACACTCCCAGACAAGTTTTGATATACATGTCGCCGACTTTAAAGCATTTAGAGCAGCTTGACTGTCGGACATGACGCATATATTTGAATTCTTATAGTTTCTACGCAAACATATAACGGAACACTCTAAAATTGCTTAGATTTCAGCTTGGAACACAGTTGGCCATCTGCCCATAGGAACCGATATTTCTATCCCTGGGCCAGTTACTCCTGCTCCCACTTGATTGTTCAATCTTGAATCATCTGTATAAAAACAATCGATCCTGGAC